TTTTAACGGCACAAAATAGAGCAATATATGATCACATCAAATTCTACACGAGTTCGGAGTGATATCAGAAACATTTGTCAATATATGGTTAATCTGTAACTTTTAATTAATGCATTGAAAATGAATTTGGAACAATAGCTTTAGAGCTCCGATCTTTCTTTTCAACGAGATATGATACGCTCCAAACGGTTAAACCCAGAGCAAGATATGAGTGTCACAAATACTTAGCCTAATCTCTATGATTTAGCATTTTCAGCGAAAATAGAGCACTTTTAGCGTAAATACAGTGTATTTTAGTAATCAGGCAATCATCCCTTGATATTTTTAAACCAGCGCCTGAAGAAAAGTTTTAGAACTCGGTAAGATTTTTCCAACGAGATATTAAACGCTTTCAACGGCACAAAATTGAGCAAGATATGATCGCATCAAATTCGACACGAGTTCGGAGTGAAATCAGAAACATTTGTGAATATATGGTTAATCTGTAACTTTTAATTAATGCATTGTAAATGAAGTTGGAACAATATCTTTAGACTTCCGATGTATCTTTCCAACGAGATATAATACGCTCCAACCGGATAAACACACAGCAAGATATGAGTGTCACAAATACTTAGCCTTATCTCTATGATTTAGCGTTTTCAGCAAAAATAGAGCAGCTTTAGCGAAAATATAGTGTATTTTAGTAATTAGGCAATCATCCCTTGATATTTTGAAACCAGCGCCTGAAAACAAGTTTTAGAACTCGGTAAGATCATTCCAACGAAATATTAAACGCTTTGAACGGCACAAAATAGAGCAAGATATGATCGCATCAAATTCTACCAGAGTTCGGAGTGAAATGAGAAACATTTGAGAATATATGGTTAATATGTAACTTTTAATTAATGCTTTAGAGCTCCGATCTATCTTTCCAACTAGATATAATACGCTCCAAATGGATAAACACTGAGCAAGATATGAGTGTCACAAATACTTTGCCTTATCTCTACGATTAGGCATTTTTAGCGAAAATAGAGCACTTTTAGCGTAAATACAATGTTTTTTTGGATTTTTTTTAAAGAACGATTTTATTCATAAAACTAAAAGGTGCAGGGCAAGAAGAGAAATAAAATGAAAGATACAGAGAGTAAAAGAGAGTATAAAAAACTAAAACTAGACCCAACTTAAGCTTTACAGGAAACCTTAGCGTAAATACAGTGTATTTTAGTAATTAGGCAATCATCCCTTGATATTTTGAAACCAGCGCCTGAAGACAAGTTTTAGAACTCGGTAAGATATTTCCAACAGGATATTAAACGCTTTCAACGGCAAAAATAAGAGGAAGATATGATCGCATCAAATTCTACAAGAGTTCGGAGTGAAATCAGAAACATTTGTGAATATATGGTTAATCTGTTACTTTTAGTTAATGCATTGTCAAAGAAGTTGGAACAATAGCTTTAGATCTACGATCTATCTTTCTAACGAGATATAATGCGCTCCAAACAGATAAACACACAGCAAGATATGAGTGTCACAAATACTCAGCCTTATCTCTATGATTTAGCGTTTTCAGCGAAAATAGAGAACTTTTAGCGTAAATACAGTCTATTTTAGTAATTAGGCAATCATCCTTCTATATTTTGTAAACAGCGCCTGAAGAAAAGTTTTAGAACTCGGTATGATCTTTCCAACGAGATATTAAACGCTTTCAACGGCATAAAATAGAGCAAGATATCATTGCATCAAATTCTACACGAGTTCGGAGTGAAATCAGAAACATTTGTGAATATATGGTGAATCTGTAACTTTTAATTAATGCATTGTAAATGAATTTAGAACAATAGCTTTAGAGCTCCGATCTATCTTTCCAACGAGATATAATACGCTCCAAACGGATAAACACACAGCAAGATATGAGTGTCACAAATACTTAGCCTTATCTCTATGATTTAGCGTTTTCAGCGAAAATAGAGCACTTTTAGCGTAAATACAGTGTATTTTAGTAAGTAGGAAATCATCCCTTGAATTTTGAAACCAGCTCCTGAAGACATGTTTTAGAACTCGGTAAGATCTTTCCAAACAGATATTAATCGCTTTCAACGGCACAAATTAGAGCAAGATATGATCCCATTACATTCTACACGAGGTTCGGAGTGACATCAGAAATATTTGTGAATATATGGTTAATCTATAACTTTTAATTAATGCATTGTAAATCAAGTTGGAACAATAGCTTTAGAGCTCCGATCTATCTTTCCAACGAGATATAATACGCTCCAAACGGATAAACACACAGTAAGATATGAGTGTCACAAATACTTAGCCTTATCTCTATGATTCAGCGTTTTCAGCGAAACTAGAGCACTTTTAGCGTAAATAGAGTGTATTTTAGTAATTAGGGAATCATCCCTTGATATTATGAAACCAGAGCCTGAAGACAAGTTTTAGAACTCGGTAAGATCTTTTCAACCAGATATTAAACGCTTTCAACGGCACAATATAGAGCATGATATGATCGCATCACATTCTACACGAGTTCAGAGTGAAATCAGAAACATTTGTGAATATATGGTTTATCTGTAACTTTTAATTAATGCATTGTAAATGAAGTGAGAACAATAGCTTTAGAACTCCGATCTATCTTTCCAACGAGATATAATACGATCCAAATGGATAAACACATAGCAAGATATGAGTGTCACAAATACTTAGCCTTATCTCTATGATTTAGCATTTTCAGCGAAAATAGAGCACTTTTAGCGTAAATACAGTGTATTTTAGTAATTAGGCAATCATGCCTTGATAATTTGAAACCAGCGCCTGAAGACAAGTTTTAGAAATCGCTAAGATCTTTGTAACGAGATATTAAACGCTTTCAACAGCACAAAATAGAGCAAGATATGATCACATCAAATTTTACACGAGTTCGGAGTGAAATCAGAAGCATTTGTGAATATATGGTTAATCTGTAACTTTTAATTAATGCATTGTAAATAAAGTTGGAACAAAAGTTTTAGAACTCGGTAAGATCTGAAACCAGAGCCTGAAGAAAAGTTTTAGAACTCGGTAAGATCTTTCCAACGAGATATTAAACGCTTTGAACGGCACAAAATAGAGCATGATATGATCGCATCACATTCTACACGAGTTCGGAGTGAAATCAGAAACATTTGTGAATATATGGTTAATCTGTAACTTTTAATTAATGCATTGTAAATGAAGTTGGAACAATAGCTTTAGATCTCCGATCTATCTTTCCAACGATATGTAATACGGTCCAAACGGATAAACACACAGCAAGATATGAGTGTCACAAATACTTAGCCTTATCTCTATGATTTAGCGTTTTCAGCGAAAATAGAGCTCTTTTAGCGTAAATACAGTGTATTTCAGTAATTAGGTAATCATCCCTTGATACTTTGAAACCAGGGCCTGAAGACAAGTTTTAGAACTCGGTATGATCCTTCCAACGAGATATTAAACGCTTTCAACGGCAAAAAATAGAGCAAGATGTGATCGCCTCAAATTCTACACGAGTTCGGAGTGAAATCAGAAACATTTGTGAATATATGGTTAATCTGTAACTTTTAATTAATGCATTGTAAATGAAGTTGGAACAATAGCTTTATATCTCCGATCTATCTTTCCAACGAGATATAATACGCTCCAAACGGATAAACACACAGCAAGATATGAGTGTCACAAATACTTAGCCTTATCTCTATGATTTATCGTTTTCAGCGAAAATAGAGCACTTTTAGCGTAAATACAGTGTATTTTAGTAATTAGGCAATCATCCCTTGATATTTTAAAACCAGCGCCTGACGACAAGTTTTAGAACTCGGTAAGATCTTTCCAACGAGATATTAAACGTTTTCAACGGCAAAAAATAGAGCAAGATATGATCGCATCAAATTCTACACGAGTTCGGAGTGAAATCAGAAACATTTGTCAACATATGGTTTATCTGTAACTTTTAAATAATGCATTGTAAATGAAGTTGGAACAATAGCTTTAGAGATCCGATCTATGTTTCCAACGAGATATAATACGCTCCAAACGTATAAACACACAGCAAGATATGAGTGTCACAAATACTTAGCCTTATCTCTATGAATTAGCGTTTTCAGCGAAAATAGAGCACGTTTTGCGTAAATACAGTGTATTTTAGTAATTAGGCAAGAATCCTTTGATATCTTGAAACCAGCGCCTGAAGACACGTTTTACAACTCGGTGTGATATTTCCAACGAGATATTAAACGCTTTCAACGGCATTAAATAGAGCAAGATATGATCACATCAAGTTCTACACGAGTTCGGAGTGAAATCAGAAACATTTGTGAATATATGGTTAATCTGTAAATTTAAATTAATGCATTGTAAATGAAGTTGGAACAATAGCTTTAGAGCTCCGATCTATCTTTCCAACGAGATATAATACGCTCCAAACGGATAAACACACAGCAAGATATGAGTGTCACAAATAGTTAGCCTTATCTCTATGATTTAGCGTTTTCAGCAAAAATAGAGCACTTTTAGCGTAAATAAAGTGTATTTTAGTAATTAGGCACTCATCCCTTGATATTTTGAAACCAGCGCCTGAAGACAAGTTTTATAACTCGGTAAGGTTCTTCAAACGAGATAGTAAACGCTTTTAACGGCACAAAATAGAGCAAGATATGATCGCATCAAACTCTACACGAGTTCAGAGTGAAATCAGAAACATTTGTGAATATATGGTTAATCTGTAACTTTTAATTAATGCATTGTAAATGAAGTTGGAACAATAGCTTTAGATCTTCGATCTATCTTTCCAACGAGATATAATACGATCCAAGCGGATAAACACACAGCAAGATATGAGTGTCACAAATACTTAGCCTTATCTCTATGATTTAGCGTTTTCAGCAAAAATAGAGCACTTTTAGCGTAAATACAGTGTATTTTAGTAATTAGGCAATCATCCCTTGATATTTTAAAACCAGCGCCTGACGACAAGTTTTAGAACTCGGTAAGATCAGTAAGATCTGAAGGGGAAAAATTGAGAGCGTCTCTCTCCTGGGTACATTCGCGTCCCAGCCTTTTTCCGTCCGTACAGGGTAAGCGAGGTTGAATCCATGGAAAGCTGATGTTTTGAGTTCGGATTTTTGGGTTTCTTGGCCGATTTTCACCTCTGCTTTCAACTCTGCACCTGGATTTGAAATTGGAAACATGAATTACGGCCAAAAACGTAAACCCGTATTGGAAATTTGCGATTCAAATACGATGAAGGTTAGGTGTATGTTTGAGGCTTTGATTTCACTCTCAGGGTGTTCTCTTGGTCGTTTTTGACTTTTGATTTCAATTCCGTCACTGGATTTGTGATTTGAACAACGAATTAGGGCCTTTTTCTGGACAGTGCTCGTCGAAGGTACTGTTCACCTGCGAAGAACAACGAACTCTGTTTGCTGGTTACTGTACCAGTAATGGCGAAGAAGAAACAGGTAGCTGGAGAGGTTTCCAATACGAGAGTTACCAGATCGTCACCTAGATTTGCTGTCCTGGACGGAATCGAGGATGACTTTCCTTCCCTGAGCTATGGGAATACCGTACAGGGGACTGTGATGGTTAAAACTGCTGCGATGGCTAAAAATAAAGGGAACGATGCTACTGAGAAAGCTGACTTCAGTCAAACGAATGCTGCAAAATTTTCTGAGAACAATACTGCTTCCAGCAACCCTGGAGCACCTAACATCCAGATTCCTGGAGCATGGACAGTTCATTCCACCGTGAAAGATGCAGGTGCTGGAAAAAATGGGGCAGATTACTCTACAGAAGGGCTTGCTCCTCACACAGTTGCTAAGCAGGCAGAACCTACTGATGCCAATTCACTGGAGAAGAACCAAAAAACAAATGGGGCTACAGGGGTTATCGCGCAGGGCAGGCAGGCAGAAATCCAACCTGCTGCTCAAAGCCAACCTGCTGCTCAAAGCCAACCTGCTGCAAACTATATGATGCCCACTGTAAAGCCTTGGAATGCACTGTTCAAAGACAATCGAGACCCCTCAAATGGTCTCAAATTGAGGTACATCCCGCCAAAAGGCAACTCCCTAGACTTCGTTGATAGGAAATTTCCTTCCATGGTTGAAATGTGGGGGTTTTGCCTAGTTGGAATGTTCACCGGAAAACACCCCGGGCTTAAGGCTATATATGACCTGAAGAACACATGGGGGGTGAGTTGCATTGTTAAAACCCATCATAGGGGGTGGGTTATTTTTTAAATTTCATACTGACGAAGATAGAGAAAAAGTGTTGAAAGGGGGGCCTTATACCATTTTTGGCATACAACTCATGCTGAAAACACTCTCCTAAGATTTTTCTTTTGATGATGATGAGTTCCTTAAGGTCCCGATTTGGGTAAAATTTCCAAATTTACATATGAAACTTTGGAATGAAGATGCGATGAGTGAGGTTGCTTCCATGGTTGGGGTTCCATTATCTACGGATAAAGTAACTCAAGATAGGAGCAATCATTCCTATGCTAGGGTGCTGATTGAGGTTGATGTCTCCAAACCACCGCCGCTATCTTTTCCTATTCGACTACCTTCCCGCAAAGTAGTCAAGCAATATGTGGTTTATGAGACCTTTCCTAACTACTGTTTCCATTGCAAAGAATATGGGCACCACCCATTTATTTGCAATGTTTTAAAGGAACCTGATGCTGCTGTTTTTAAGGAACCTGCTTCTGCTGCGCCTAAAACTGTTGCACCGGAACCTGCTGGTGTAATTCAGCCGGAACCTGCTGCTGCAATTCAGCCGGAACCAGCTGGTGCAATTGAGCCGGAACATGCAACAATTGAGCCGGGAGTTGGTGCCACAGATTTGCACACTGATCAGGGAGATGCAAGGTCAGAGCCGACTGCCCAAGGGTCTTCCAAAGGTGATGATAAGAATGTATCGGCTGCCATGACTGAATCAGAGGGGGAAGAGGACACAGAAGATGAGGAATCGGATGATGAGCCAAGGGATGAAGAGGAACAGAAAATTCTTGATGACTACTGGGAAAAAATTACACAATATAGGAAGAAGAAGAAAAAGATGGAAGCTGAGCCTGTTCAAATAGGTTTAGGCTAATTTGATACAGATCCCACTGGTGGGTATTTATGGTTGTTTTTATTACCCTGATTTGGTGGACATGGGGGATGCCCCATTATTTGATGATGCATTATGTTTAGGTTAGATTTATCTAACTTAGATAGCCTTTGTTGATTTCGTGTGATACATTGTATAATGTTATTTTTGGGTGACTTTTATATATACTTACATTTCATCCAAAAAAAATAGAACTCGGTAAGATCTTTCCAACGAGATATTAAACGCTTTCAACGGCACAGCATAGAGCAAGATATGATCGCATCAAATTCTACACAAGTACGGGGTGAAATCAGAAACATTTGTGAATATATGGTTAATCTGTAACTTTTAATTAATGCATTGTAAATGAAGTTGGAACAACAGCTTTAGATCCCCGATCTA